AAAATGCAAGGTTCTCCACCTTGGGAGGAAAAACCTGCAGCATCCTTATAGGCTCAGCAGCGCTATGCTGGTTAGCACTACGGCTGAAAGGGACTTGGGGGCCATGATTGAACACAAGATGAACATGAGCCTTCAACGTGATGCTGCAGCTAGTAAAGCGAGCAAAACGCTGGCTTGCATCCATAGATGCTTCTCAAGCAAATCCCAGGATGTCATTCTCCCCTTGTACTTGGCCCTGGTGAGGCCGCAGCTGGAGTACTGCATCCAGTTTTGGGCTCCACAATTCAAAAAGGATGTGGAGAAGCTTGAGAGAGTCCAGAGAAGAGCCATGCACATGATCAGAGTTCAGGAAAACAGACCTTACGATGACAGGCTGAGAGCTATGGGACCCCTTTAGCCTGGAAAAGCACAGGCTCAGGGGCGATCTGATGGCCACCTATAAATTAATCAGAGATGATCACCAGGATCTGGGGGAACAAGTGTTCACCAGAGCACCCCAAGGAATGACAAGGTTGAACAGTTATAAACTCCTCCAAGACCATTTCAGGCTGGACATAAGGAAGAATTTCTTCACTGTCCGAGCCCCCACGGTCTGGAATAGCCTGCCATCAGAGGTAGTTCAAGCACCTACATTGAACACCTTCAAGAGAAATTTGGATGCTTATCTTGCTGGGATCCTATGACCCCAGCTGACTTCCTGCCCCTGGGGCAGGGGGCTGGACTCGATGATCTTCCGAGGTCCCTTCCAGCCCTAATGTCTATGAAATCTATAATTCTATGATACTATTCACAAAGCCCAGAAACACTGCAGAGTGCCCCACATGCAGCCCTGCATTTCCTGCTGCCACCTCACATCAAGGCCATGTTCCAGGGGTACCCAGTTGCATACAGACCTGTTGTTTCTATGTCATTGTCCCACAAGAAGTTCCCAGCTCAGCTGCACCCCTTCATAATGCCAGGAACCTGCAAGCTATGAGCCAGCCATGACAGACTTCATCCCCCTGTTGCATGGATTCACAGGACTCAGGGTGCCACCCAGCCTTAAGCTTCGCAATGTCTTTCTCCAGCTCTTGCACACTGTGACAGGAGCCTTGCTGTGCATATTGTTGGCAAAAAATTTTGATTTGTGCCTACTTCTTTTCTGAGCACTGGTTCCAGGAGGGTAAGTGACTTTGAGGCTTCCCAGATCTGCTGTAGGTACGTAAACCAGATAAGACCAGAGGTATGCGAAGTGGAAGTCCTGCCAGAAGCAGACACTGAGATACCAGTAGGGTCTTTGGCTATGAATGAAGTCAGAAGAACCCAGTTCACACCAGACCAAGGCATGATCTAAGAATCCTGATGGAGTAACAACTGCAGGGAAGCAGAGCTCAACAGCAGAGGTGGAAGGTGTTCATGGTTTGATGGATAGGGCACTTTTCTAAGAAATGGGAGCTGCCAGTTCAAACCTTCTCAGTGTATATGGAAGGCCTACAACATCAGGCCTATCACTTCCTGGGCAAGTGCCTGAAGCACTAAGCTCCTGGGATAAAATGTAGGAGGAACAGAATGAACTCTTCTTAAAAATCTAAATAGTGACTGATATAATGTTCACTGGGGAAACATGGAATGCAACCATGGCACTTGTTCCTGTTGGGTCATTGGGCTGGCATTAAGTGATGGCAAGAGAATGATATTTAAAAATTTGCTTTTAGAAATCGGATTGTATTGGAGCAATGGTCCAGGGGAATGGCAAGGGTTAATGGATTTCTAATATATGTCTGTGGCAAGGATTCACATTGTCAGCATTTTAGCATCCAAGGGTCTGAAGCTAACAGACAAACAGGCACATGCATCCTGAGAAACTGAAAACATGCAGCACTTTGTTCCCTTAGAACCCATAAGAAGATACAAACATGCCAAACTACCCACAGGTCGCAATGACCAGCTATAGCTTGGTGAGAAATCCCTAGTTTGGTAAAATAACCAAATTAGGAGACCAGGAA